AAAAAAACCCCTTCCACTGTGGGAGGGGATGGCAAAGTCTCCAGGCCTTTTAAAAAGCTCTCCTTGGGTGCCAGTTAGGGCAGTGATTTCGCTCCAACTCTGTTCTAACCCTTTCTACCTGCCCCATCCCTGTCCACACTGACTACCACCCTTACCCCTCCCAGTGGTCATCCTGTTCAACCTGCTTTTCTCACCGATCTCCTCCCTTTGTCTCTGGCCTCGCCCAAAGCCCTCATTGGCCCCTGGATCTAGACCCAAGGGTCCCGGACACCTCCTCCCCTTCCCTGGCTCTCAGTCAAGCTCCTCTTACCCTCCCACTAGAGCCAGATCACCCCGTCCTTCCCAATGCCAATACCCTATCCCCAATCAGGCTCCCATGGGACTAAAGCCAGTTATCTCTCGCCTGCTCCCACGCAGCCTCCTGGTCCCTATCAACTCTCCATATGACACTCCCATCCTCCCTGATGGAAAGGCAGATGGCACACACAGATTGGCCCGGGACCTCCGTGCTCTCCACCATATAGTCCTTCTTCTCCATCCTGCAGTGCCCAACCCACACCCTTCTAGCTTCTGTTCCCCATCTGCTGCCCACAGCTCAGTCCTCGCTTTGAAGGGTGCTGTCTTCACCATTCCTCGCATCCCTCCTCACAGCTTCTCTTCGCCTTCACCTGGACGGACCCCAATACTCGCCAGTCCCAGCGCTGACCTGGCGCCCTCAAGGGTGCAGACCTGGCCCCGCAATACTGGTCAGGCGCTGGCCTGTGCCTGGCTCTCCTTCCACCTGACTCCCACCTCACGAAGACCATCTGTGCAGTCCCTCTTCTGGGTCCTCCAGAGAGGACACTCTTCTACTCCCACAACACGTAGACACAAAGGGCGACCATGTGTCTCAGTTCAAGGCTCAAATCCCCTGTCTGTCCGTCCCCTACATGGGTATTATTCTGCACAAACACACTGAGTCCTTCCTCTCAATTGTGCCCAATTCATTTCTTTTTTTTTTTTTTTAATCTTATTTATATATTTGTGTGTGTGTGTGTGTATGTGTGTGTCCAGCTCAGCCCACCAGGGGGCGGGGCTGGCTGGCATGTGGTGCTGGGGGATTGAACCGCTGTCCCTGTGCTTTGCTAAGCTTGTTCTAAGTAGGTGCTTTAGACCACTGAGCCATCTCACCAGCCCCTGTGTCCAATTAATTTCTCAGATTCCCATCCCTACCACAAAGCAGCAACTTCTCCCCTTCCGTGGGGTGGTGGGATTCTTCTGCCGCTGAGTTCCTGGCTTTGCCCTCTTTATCAAACCCCTACATAAGCTTACAAAAGGGGACCCAGAGGAAACTTTAGATCCTAAGAACTTTCCTTACTCTCCCTTCCAGACCTTAAAAGAAGCTCTAAAAACAGCTCCAGCCCTGGCTTTGCCAGACTGTACTCAACCTAGGTGTCTATATGCCACAGAAGGGCCCACGCTCAGTTGCCTCCCTATCAGAACAGCTGGATTCCACTGTCTTAGGTTGGCCAGCCTGCCTAGGAGCAGCTGCTACTGCAGCCTTGATGCTTACAGAAGCTCTGAAGATTTCTTTTCTTTCTTTTTCTTCTCCTTCTCCTTTTTCTTTTTTTTTGGTGGCTAGCTGTAGGAAGTCCCTCCTGGTCCTTGTCTCAGTCCAAGAAGTCTGTATCTGTAGTCTCAAAAATATGTTATTGTAATCCCACCAAGTTAATTCCAATCTACCAATCCCAGTGCAACCCATGGTGAAAATAAAGACACTAAAACATATTTGTAATTATGAGAGCCGAGGGGCCCTAAGTCCAGCCATGAAGATGGCTTTCTGGAACAGAGACTGACCCAGGGCCATACCTGGGTTTTATTCAGTGGAGGAGGAGGAGTGGCTTGAGGAATAACGACTGAGAATTGTGGGAAGTAGGGGAGCACTATGAGCTGGGCTAGGTAGGTGGCCTGCATTTGCCTCTGCAGTATGCAGAGAGAAGGATATGAGGAGAAAATAATTTGCATTATGCTACTGAGATAGTATCTAATTTGGGGGGAGGGTCTGGTGCTTCAGCTCTGATGTGTAATCTTTCAAGCCCCAGGAAGTCATAGCCTCTGTCTCCAGGCTGATCCCAGCCCATAGCGTGGAGCACTGGCTCTTCGTCCTGCCTCGACCCGGCTCATATTAAAGAGCAGCAGGTGGGGGTTATCAGGGAAACACTTGTGCTGTCTGCAAAGACTACCATCAGTACCTGGGCTAGACCAGTATGCACTGCTCAAGGCCAATTGAAGGGATAAGGAAAAGTCCCAGCCAGCTCGGTACCGATCAGTACATGGAAACAGGGTCAGGTACAGCCACAATGGAGACAGTTTCTCTTCTTTGAAGGAGAGTCACCCAGATAGTCCTCCACACCTAGCCATTCACCACTCACGCTATGCTCCTCCTGTGACCTGCAGGGGGTCCTGTCCTCATCACATGGCTCTCATCTTCTGTCCACTCCTCCAATCTGTAATTAGGCACACTCTATAGAAACACCTACAGCAACTGTTGCCTTAGGGACTCGCTTTGATCCCTCCTCTCATACCCACTCTGTCTCCTTCTGAGGCCGTCCCTCCTGCACTTAACCTGGCCCTGTCCTTTTCTTTTTTACCAGGAATCCAATGCTTGCCAGGCAGGCACCTGTGTGGCTGAGCTACGCCCCCGCCCGCCCTTTCCTCCTGTCTCAGCTTTCCCCTTGTGTACCCAGATCACCCTCGCTTTATCATGGGAGTTCCTGTAAGGCCTCCCTCCCACTGCTGGCTAAGGCGGGGTATGCAGCTGTCTTGCAGGACCCTGCCTGCGGCTCCTCCCGGACCCACTGCCTCTCACCAGGCCGAACTCACTGCTCCTACAAGGGCCCAGGCTTCCAGACCAACATCCTCAGATTCCGAGGGTGTGCTCTACATACTTCCCAACCATGCTGGTAAGATGTCCAGGTTGGGCTTGAATTGGTGACCCTGCCTCAGCGTCCCTGAATGCTAAGATTACAGGTGGGCACTCACCATGCCCAGCTGAGGTTTGCCTTTCTTATTTATCTTTGTGGTGCTGGGGATGGAACTCAGGGCCTCAGATGTGCTAGGCAAGAGCTATGCCGCTGCGCTATACCTTCGGCTCCTTTGTTCCCAGCTTACATGAAAAAGGAGCAACCCCCCAGCCAGGCAGAATGCTGCACTTGCCAGGCTTCTTCTCCACCAGGCACGGTTGTGGGGTGTTTTTGCCACTGAGATGTAAGCAGGCATGATGGGAGCTGTTTTGAGGGAGACTGCGAATGAGGCAGGCATAGGAGAAAAATCCAGAACACTCAAGATAAGAGAGTGTCATAGAAATCAGTACAGGATACTAGCTGAACAGGCCTAGGGGTGTGGTTGGGGACTGGGGTGGCAGGGCAGGGAGCTCAGTGTCCAGAATTTGGCGGGTCCAGCTTCTCCTCGGATCCACTGGCTGCTAGAGCAGAATGTGAACCAGAGGCAGCATCACCTGGGGCCCCCCTCAGTGTGCAAGAGACCAGGGTCCTCTGTCTCCAGTTTGCCAAACCCTCCAGCCAGAGCTGATGTGGAAGCAAGTTTGAGAATCTCTGAGCTAGGGCACCCTTGGCCTTGGCCTCTGAAATGGGGTAAGACGGTGGGGAAAGACAGAACGTAAGGGGCTGCAAGTTCCCAATGGTTCACACTCCAAGTTCTGAAGCCCCTTGGAAGGAAAAGCTAAAGGAAAAAATCAACTCGAACCATCCCATGGGGAACATGTGGCTGAAGACCTGCTAGGTCATCTGTACAAGAACAGAGGGTGACCAGCTGGGGTGTGGTGCGTGGCACAGCACCTGCCTAGCACCTGTGAGGCCCTGCATTCCATCCCCAGCATCAGGAAAACTACCAAACCCAAAACCAAACAAATGAAGAAACAAAACAGGAACAGAAGGCACAAAACATACGGTAGATAAACTTGGTAGGTGTACTAGCATAGTGTCTTGGACGATTTTTTTTTTCCTGGCTGGCTCAGGCTGCCTTAAGGGCAGGTCTGGTAAGACACTTGGGGACTGGGGGATCCAACCACAGTCCCCTAAGCCTGACTGGGTTTGTCTGCACAGGCACTTAAACAACTGAGCTAACCCACAGCCTGCTAGCAGTGTCTTGGGAAGCTCCTAGATTCAACCTGTGTGAGGGGCAAGCGAGAATATTGATTAAATGAGGATCAAATGAGGAAGCAAGTCAGATAGCAAGCAAGTGCACATGGGATTGACAAGGACTTTCCAGGTAGTGGGGGGTTACCAAGGTAATTTGTGGAGTGTTACCTTTCCTTGAAAGAAGAGCAGTTGTCTCCATTCTGGCTAAGCCTGACCCTATTTCCTTGTATTGATATGTACAGAGCTGGCTGGGACTTCTGTTTATCCTTAATTGGCCTTAAGCGATGTTTATTGGTCTAGCCAAGGTGCTGGGGGAAATGTTTGAAGACGGCATGCGTGTTTCCCTGATAACCCATACCTGCTTATGAGCCAGGTCAAGACAGGACAAAGAGCCAATGCTCCACGCTGTTGGCTGGGATCGAGCCTCGAGATAGAGGCGATGACTTTCTGGGGCTTGAAAGAGTACATTACCACTGGGCCACACATCCCATGCCCTTTTTTTCTGGGGAAAGATGGAGACAGAGAACTGCCTACTGTGAGCCAATCTTCGCGACTCTCATCACCTGGGTTTGCACTGAATTAAAATCCTGGCCTTTCGAGTTGCATTGCTAACATTAGAGACCCTATCTTTCTTTGGGGTTCTCAGCCTAGATCGGAGTTCCTATCTTTCTTTGGGGTTCTCAGCCTACATCAGGGTCTGACTTGCGAACCTGGACATCAAAAGACCCTCCCCGACCTCGCAGGGAAGCCGCAATAGCGTCTCCTCCGAGTCCCGCTGCGACCGCCCGGAAGCCTCCGAGGGTCAGGACTTCGGCCAGACCCGCCCGTTCCGGAAGTCAGCAGGAACAGGGACAGCACACACGCCTGCCTACCACCCGGCGTGCACACTAGCCTGCTGGCCCCAAGTGTTCCATCTACTAAAAGTGAGAACCTCGGGGCTCTCGGATCACCGCAACAGAGCCCGCTGGAAGAACGCCAGTCGCGGACCGTCAGTTCCCACCTCGCTTGATTCCGCGCTCAGGGCGGAGCGCACGCTGGACTACAACTCCCGAGAGGCCTCGCGCGCCGACGGCTGCTGATTGGTTGCGCAACGGGGTGGTGCGGTCGGCCGGTGCGGTGTCCGCGTGTGCGCGGCGGCCGATGGCTGCGCTCAGCTGGGCGGCGGCGCTCCGCGGGGCTCGCGGGCTCTGCGGGCTGGCGGCGCGCGGGGCAGCGGGGTTCTTGCGTCATGGCTCCCCCAGAACCTACGCCGCGGTCTCGGCTGAGGTGAGGACCTGGGCTCCGCCGAGCCGTACTCGGCGCCGGAGGCGGGGCCGGGACAGCGGAGGCCGCCGGGCTGGGCAGCTGCAGCATCCCGGTCTAGCCCGGAGATCGCTGGAGACCGCCGGGCCGGGGCTCCGCGTCCTGCCGCCTCACAGGCGACCTGGGCGACAGGTCACCGCTGCACGTGGAGAGCGGGCGACACAAACTCACCTTTCCCTCATCGCACGCTGCTGTGCGCTTGGCTGCGCGTCAGCCGCGTCCCCAAACTTTCTCCGCATTTTGTGCCTGCTTCCCGCTGTGGGTCTGATCTTTCTCCCCGATGGGCCGTGATTTCCCAGAACTTCTGAAAGAGTGCGGGGCTCGCCGCGCTCCCCGCCCGCGCGCGCTGCACCTTTGCACGGCCGCGCGGAAGTGGCTGTGCCGAGGTCCGCTTCCCTGCTGGCGCGTTAGAGCAGGCGGAGATCTGCAGGCGAGGGGAGCTGCCCGGTCGGCTCAGTGCATGCGGACTGTGCAGACTCCAGAGGTTCTCCACGTCTTCGGGGCGGGTTGAAGCTAGCTCTGGGCTTAGCGAGTTCTCTGGGCTCGGGGGCGAGCTTAAGTGCTTCCCTGAGGTCATCCAGCTGATAGCCAGTGACTGTCCTCTGAAGCTGAACTAGGTTTGGCTTACTCCACTTTCCTCTGGGCCAGTTCACCTTTTACAATTTAATGTCATTTTTGCAGTACCGGAGTTTGAACCCAGGGTTTTCTCACTGAGCTACATCCCCAACCCTTTTTAATTTTGAGACAGTTTGTTTAAATTCCACAGGTTGGGCTCAAACTTTTCCATCTTCCTGCTTCAGCTTCTAGAAGTTTGGATTACAGGGCATGTGCCACTGTGCTGCGTTGGGTTATTACTGTTGTTTACGTTTAATTTTTCGTTCTTTTTTCTTTTGAGACAGGATCTCATTATGTAGTTCAGGCTAGCCTTGGACTCATTATGCCGCTAGGCTAGCGTCGAACTCATGATGAGTCTCCTGCCTCAACCTCCTGAATGCTGGGATTACAGGTTTGTGCTGCCATGCCTGTCTGCTTAAAAATAAATTAATTTTCTTTGGGGGCGGGACTGGGAATTGAACTCAGGAACATATGCGTGCCAGGTAGGCACTGTACCACTGAGCTATATCAACGGCCCCTAATTTATTTTTTAAATTGATTTTAATTTTGAGACAGGGTCTTACCATGTAGCCCCGGCTGGCTTTGAACTCATAGTTACTCACCTGCTTCAGCCTCCAGAGTGCTGGGATTATAGGTGCATGCCACCATAGCTGTCCTAATTTTTTTATTTAGAACAATTTATGTGTATCTAATCTTACTGTTTTACATAACTGTATTCACAGAAACTTTATTTTTTAATAAGTTCTCTTTTTTTTTTTTCCAGCAGAATATATTTATTGTCCGAGAGACAGAAGAGGGGCCCAAGCAGGTTGTCCCCTAGTTCTACCTCCTTGATAATTATCTTTTCCTTTCTAGGCACTTGCGTTCTTTTATATTTTTTAGGGGGTCCTGGGAATTGAACTCACGACCTTGTGTTTGCCACACAGGTGCTCTGCCACTGAACTATGTCTTGGCCCAGGAACTGTGTATTTTTATTTTTTATTTTTTTGGTGGAACCGGGGATTGAACTCACGACCTTTCGCTTGCCAGGGAAGTGCTTATTCTGCTGAGCCATCTCCCTGGCCCCTAGTGTATTTTTACATTAATTATTTAGAAAGAAAAGCCAGGCGTGGTGGTGCATACCAGTAATCCCAGCCCTCCAGAGGCTGAAGCGGGAGGGTTGTCAAGAGTCCACACCAGCCAGGGCTACATAGTGAGTTCAAAGCCAGTCTACACTGTATAGCAAGATCTTGTCTCAAAACAAAAACAAAAAAAAAAAAAAAAGAAAAAAAACCAACCAAACAAACAAAAAAAACACATTGCTCTCTTTGTGCTAGGTATCATTGTAAATATTTAAGAAATATTACTTTAGCTGGGCTTGGTGATGCATACCTATAATTCAGGAGGCTGGGGCAGGAGGATCATTGCACGTTCTAGGCCAGCCTGGGCTACAAAGTGAGCTCAAGTCCAAAAAGAAAAAAAAAATCATAAAATCTTTATTTTAACAGATTAGTATAGTTATTGCCATTTTACAGATTAAAGAACTCAGACAGATTAAGCGGTTTGTGGGTTGTTGCAGAAACTCCAGCTCAGCCTGGTGCCAGGGTCCAGGCCCGTAACAATGTTTTCATTGTTGCTTTACCAGTGGAGCAGCCAAGGTTCAAAGAAGTTTGGTGACTGGGCCAGTGCTGTAGGGCTGTGTCGGAGGACAAGGTGGAAGCATGAAAACGAAGCAAAACAAAAAGCCGGGAGCATGGAATCTGTTGATCAGGGACTTTGGACACCCTTGCTTATGCCTTGCATGTTCTTCAGGGCAGGGGTGTGGCAGGAGAGGCTTGGGTTGTGTAGGCGTTTCCTGTGTGGCAGGAGGGGGTCGGCTTTTCTCTGGCTGCCCTTTCGCTGGTGGTCAGAAGTTGCTGCCCCTGTTCTCCCAGTATCTGTGCCCACCTGGAGCTCACCTGGCCAGCGCCCTCGTCCTGTAACTCTTGGTGGCTCTGTGTGGCCAGTGCCGAGGAGGTCTGACCCGTGCTGTGAGAGGAGTGAGTGGAAGCCATACTCTGTGTCGCTCTGGTTCCTGTTTTCCTTGGCTCATTCTTTGCCTCCCTTGACCTTGGCCCTTCTTGAGTTTCCTTCTTACCCTGGCTGCTGCTCCTCATTCTCCTGCTGGCAGTTTTTTTTTTTTTTTTTTTTTTTTTTTTGTGCTCCATCTTTAATTGCTGTTCTCAGGGGGCTGAGGCAGGAGGATCACACGCCAGTGACAGCCTGGATCAGACAGTGAGTTCCAGGCCAGCAGAGGGAGGCCCCCTCTTCAGAACACAAACAACATACACAAAACAGAAAGGCCTGTTCCTCCTAGCTCCCTGAGAGCAGGAACCTCCTGAGTTTCGTCCCACGAGTCCTCTGAGCAATTCTGATGTCTGTGTGCCTGCCCTGGAGGTCCAGAGGGGGACGTAGCTTTTGTTCTAAGCAGCGTCATGAGAAGGTACAACTCTGCCTACATCTTTGGATGAGGTGCCCCTGGCTCAGTGCTTACCTCAGAGGCTGGGACCTGGGTTCAGTCCTCAGTACCATTAAAAGAAGGTGACCAGTATCCCACTTGCTGTTCCGCCTTGATGCTGCCCTCCCAAGGTGTCAAGGCCACACAAGCATGGGTCACTGTGGCCCTCTGCCCTGCTTATGAGTGGTTGCCAAGTTCTGGCTGTTCTGTCCCCCAGGGATGCTTCCCTTCTTCTATCGTTGTTGTCACTACCCTAAAGCCACCATCTTCTTCATTTGGATTGCAGTCGGGTGGCAGATGGGACCTGGTCTCCTTCCACTGGATGCTTTTCAGCTCATTGGGTCTGCTTTGTACAGCTGAATTTTCTTTTTTGAGACAGAGGCTCACTTTGTAGTTCAGGCTGGTCTTGAACTCCTGGTGATCCTCCTGCCTCAGCCTCCTAATTATAGGCATGTACCAAGGATTTTTTGGCTTTTTTTCCCCCTCATCTTTTTGAGACAAGGTTTCCCTATGTAGTTCATGCTGGCCTTGAGCTCACTTTGTAACCCAGGTGCAGCTGAAATGTTTCTACAAGGATATTCTGATATTGCTATTGTTTCAGACTCCCTGAATTGGCCTCAGAGAGCTGTGCTGGCCAGCCCTGCCCACCTGCTCACGCAGGGTAAGGAGTCCCTGGTGTGGGCCTCCTATGCTTACCCCACTGTCCTTGACTCAGTTTAGTGCTTAGTGGGACTGTCCTGTGGCTTTTTTTTTTTAATTTGTGTATTTTGGTACAGGATCTCAGTATGCAGATGGGACCCATGGTGATCCTGTTTTCAGCCTCCCCAGCACTGGGATTACAGGCATGTGCCACCTCGCCCAGTATCAATTGCCAACTCTGCGTGTCCTAGGGGGGTGGAGCCGGCATGGTAGGCCCGGGGATCGAACCCCCAGCCCCTGTGCCTACTTGCAGGCGCTTTAATCTGCTGAGTTATTTGGCCGGCCCTCCTATTTCCTATTATTTTTATTATACTGGGATTACAGGCATGCACCATCAGGCCTAGCTGTCAAAGGGCATTTGAATAGTAGAAATGTTTATAATATATGAAGCAACCTGAACAAGATGTAAAGTTGCATATGTAATTGCAATTTATAGTGGCAGATATAGGGTAAACATTAAAAATAGAAAAAAGATGGGGGGTCCCTGCAAGATAGCTCAGTGGACTGAGTGCCTGCTTAGGCAAACACAGGGACTGGTGTTTGATCTCAGGCACCACATACTGCTGGCCCTGCCCCAGGCACACCGAGCCCACGCCTATAATCCCAATGCTGGGGAGGCTGAAAACAGGCGGATCATAGGGCCAGTCAGATAACTCAGCAGACTAAAGCATCTGCTTAGGCAGAGCTCAGCGGCCAGGGTTCAATCCCCAGTGTGCTGTGCTGGCCCTGCCTCTTGGACATGCTGAGACTGGGATTGAGGCTGGGTGTGGTGGTGTGTGCCTGTAATCTCAGCATTTGGGAGGCTGAAAACAGGAAGATCACTATGAGTCTGATCTGTGTAGTGAGACCCTGTACCAAATACACAAATGAATAAAAAAGGAAAAAGATGGGAAGGACCATATGAAATGACTGTGAAAGTGCTAGGGTTGTATTTTATTTGAATTCTCTTTTTCAATTAAAAATCTAAATTATACACATCAGTTTTTGACAAAGAAATTATTTTTGTCTTTTTTTTTTTTTTGGCAGAACTGGGGATTAAACTCAGACCCTTGCGCTTGCAAGGCAAACACTTATTCTACTGAGCCATCTTCCCTGGCCCCATATTTTTGTCTTTTTTTTAGTGGAACCTGGGATTGAACTCAGGCCTTTGCATTTACCAGGCAAGCGCTTATTCTACTGAGCTATCTCCCCATTCCCTATTTTTTTTTGTCTTTTTGAGACAGGGTCTCGCTATGCAGTTCAGGGTGTCCTTGAGCTCATTTTGTAGCCCAGGCTGGTTTTGAACTCCCAGTGATCCTCCAGCCTCAGCCTCCTAAGTGCTGGGACAACAGGCATATTCCACTATAACCCGCAAGAAGTTATATTCTTAAAAAAGTTATATTCTTAAAGAAGTAGTGATAAAGAATAATTTTTTGTAAATATAGGTTTGGCGGATCAGAATACCTGTCTTAGAGCTGAGGGGCAGAGTGCTTGCCTAGCTTGCGCAGGCCCCTGGGTTTGATTCTCAGCAGAAGGAAGGAAAAAGGGAGGAAAGGAAAAAGATACCCCGCGCCTTCAGCTTCTCCTCCTAGGCCTTACCCGAGCACAGCGGTTTCCTCTGCTGCTCTCGCCTTCGCCCATCGCCTCCTGCAGTGGTAATTCTCTCCTCCTCCCTGTGCAGAGCCTGCCCACCTTCGGATTCCTGTTGGACATCGATGGGGTGCTGGTGCGGGGCCACAATGTCATCCCGGCCGCATTGGATGCATTCCACAGGCTGGTGACCCCTCAGGGCCACTTACGTGTGCCTGTGGTGTTTGTCACAAATGCTGGGAACACCTTACAGCACAGGAAAGCCCAGGAGCTGTCGGCCCTGTTGGGGTGCAAGGTAAGGAGACCAGGAGGGGCACAGAAGCCGGTGGTGGTTCCACGAAAGAGCCCCGCTGCAGCTTGGCTTCCTTTTCCTGGGTTGGGGTCTGGTGTCGGTAACCCCTCGATACGGCCAGTGGAAATCTTTCAGTCCTGTGGAAGAACTCGAGGATCTTAAACATGCACACACCCACACCCATGTGTGCATGCACATACACACACATGTACAGGCACAGGCACATGCACACCTGTACATACACACTAGTCGAAGGAGTACAAAAACCACGCCCTTGTATTTGGCAGTTTGACTGTATCACATCCACTTTTTTCCTTCTGGCTGTCAAGGTTGTGTCTTTGGGTTTGTTGCCTCTGGGGTCGCATTGGCCCGAGACCACACATTGGCAGTGGGGTGTGCAGTCCGGGCCTCGCTTTACGTGGACAGGTGGTGGGCCTAGGCACAAGTGAGGCAGTCTGTCATCCTGCCCTGCCATACCACGCTGCATCCCAACACAGGTGCTCAGGTTTGTTCCGGGTGAGTTCAGGTTTTCAAAGGAGTCCTTTGGGACCAAGAGAACTCATAAAGTGGCTGATTATTTGGGCGATTGTGCTTGAGTCTGGTGCAGAGTAAAGGAATAGAACTGGCTCTCTGCTGTGGTTCCCAGAGCGGGTCTGAGAGTACGCTGAGTGAAGGCTGCATTGTTGGAGCCTCAAGTGGACCTGAAAACGGCCAAGGTCGGAGGCAGGTTCCTGTGACAGTGCCAAGGGGCGTAGGTGCAAACCTGGCTTCTGCCCTGGGGCTGAGAGGTCCCAGGGGACCGGCAAACAGGACACAGCATGGTGCTGAATGGCCAGCCGCTGTTTCCGCTTTGTTTTGTGTGGCAGGAACCAAGAGAAGGGGCTGTAGCTGTAGCTCAGTGGTACAGCACTTGCCTGGCCAGCACAAGGTCCTGAGTTCCATTCCCCAAACCAAAAGAACCAGAAGAAGTAATCTTCTTATGCTTGGTTGAGTATTTTTGGAAATATCAGCTGCCAGAAATGGCTATCTCCCTTTCACCTTCTTGTTGGTTTTGTTTTGTTTGTACCAGGAATCAAACTCCTGACCTTGCCCTTGCCAGGCAGGTTCTTGCGCCCCTGAGCCCTGTGCCCAGCCTCCCCCTTCACTTTCTGGACAGTATTTCCTTCTCAGGTAACAGAGCCTGCCACTGTCACCAGGATTTTCTCTCACCTCTGCCTTTCTCTTCTGTCCTTCTCTTGTGGTTGTCCCTGCAGGTGGAGCCAGACCAGGTCATTCTCTCTCACAGCCCCATGAAGATCTTTTCGCAGCATCATGACAAGCGGATGCTGGTGTCTGGCCAGGGCCCTGTGGTGGAGAATGCCCGAGCGTATCCTTTGGGTCCTCTCACGAGGCCCCTCCCTGCGTGGCTGTGTGGGGACTGTGGTGCGGGGACTGCAGTGCCTTGTGATGGCCTCAGGACCGAGGGGGTTCCCCCTGTGGGCACCCCTCCCATCTGTAGCTCTGAGCGAGTCCACACCGAATTGTGATTCACTAGATTCAGGGCGGGTGTCACAATGTGTGTGTTTCCTGGAGAGGGAACCTAGGGCCTTGGGAGTCCCAGGCAAGCACTCTACCCCAGACCAGGAAGCTGTATTTTACTCCGGCCCCCAGGAAGCTGTATTTTAAAAACTCTTCAGGTGATTCTGCAGTGGGCTTTGACTAGGCCTCTTCCTGTGGACGCTCAGTGAGCTGGTCAGCTCCAGTGGTGAGCAGGTGGCTCCAGTGGGGTGTGTGTGCCTCAGGAAGCCGGGCCTATCCCTGTTCACAAGCAGCCTGCTCTTTTGTGCTGGGCACCTTCTTGGCATCATGCTGTGCTACATGGTTAAAGGGACAGGAGACCAAGGTGGGGACTTTGGGATTCCCCAGGCTTCCTCCCAGGCTCAGTCACATACCAATGCCCAGTAAAAGGCATTTATTTATTTATTTATTTATTTATTTATTTATTTATGTATTTTTTATGTATTTTTTATGTATTTAGTGCAGGGTCTATAGGGTCTCACTAGACAGATTGGACCCATAGTGATACTTCCTGTTTTTCAGCCTCGCAGGCCCTGGGGTTACAGGCATATGCCACCATGCCCAGTCTCAATCGCCATCTCAGTGTGCCCTGGGAGTGGGGCCGGCATGGCCTGCTGGAAATGGAACCCCTGGCCCCTGTGTCTGCCTAAGCAGGAGCTTTAATCTGCTGAGCTATCTGGCTGGCCCTAAAGGGTGTTTATGGTGGCAGAGATGGGCTGGGTATAGCTGAGTGGCAGAGTGGGTGCCCGGTGTGTGGCAGGCCCTGAATTCCATTCCAGGTACCACAAGGGAAAGAATAGAAAGATGGCAGGTGGCTGCAGGCTGTGGAGAGTGGGGCAGGTCCTCCTGGGCAGTGAGTGCCTGGCAGGTGTGGCGTGGCGCTTCGTGGAGGGTTCTGGCTGTGCTCCAGGGGTGGCTAAGGCTTTCCAGCAGGTAGGGGGTCAGAATGGGGCAGGCAGGTATTGGAGGACAGGAGCAGCAGCCAGGCTGGGCACCTGGGAGTGTTGTCAGCCAGTGGGGAGCTGCAGAGGCCTCGCTGCAGAGGTGTGTCTGGTGTCCACACTTGGGGGCACGTAGTCAGTCATCTAAACCAGGCCCATTTGGAACTGCCGGTCTCAGGAGAGAAAGGCTGCACTGGCCTGGGTGTCTGTGCCAGTGGATGCCTGAAGGCCCGGAGATCTTAGCTGCTGTCCGGCGCCCCTCAGTCTCTGTCCAGCTCCCAGCCCCAAGGTGTCCTCTGAGCACAGCACAGGCCAGCACTGCCATGGCGTGGGTCTGGGTGGGCTCTGAGCATGCTGTCCACCATGTGGGCAGAGTTACGTGCCCTTGTGCCTTGGTCCTGCCTCTTGCAGGGCCTGGCATTGGGTAGTGTGGAGGGGCTGCCCGGGCATTGCTTGCTGACACGGACAGTGCCTCCGTGGCTTGCCCTCGGCCTTGCAGGATGTCTGGCATCCCGCATGCTTCTCCTTGCTTGTGCTCTGAGCCAGAAAGGTGTCTTCCCGGAACTGGCCGGCTTTGCTTCCTGATCTTGCTTCAGCCTGGGCTTCCGGAACGTGGTTACCATGGAGGAGCTGCGGACAGCCTTCCCGGTGCTGGACATGGTGGATCTCGAGCGGCGGCCGACGACCACGGTAACGTGGAGCAGTGGCTGGGTCACACCTCTCTGGCTGTCTGAGTCTCCATGTTCTATCCTCTCCTGTCCCCTCTGGTGGCTTCCCTTGCCCGCTCCTGTCAGAGCTGTGTTTGTCTGTGTGTCTGAGTGTGGCCTCTGTGGAGAGATGTGCCTGGCTGGCCAGGATTGTTCCCTAGATAGGTAAGAATAGCAGGCTCTGAGCGGTGCCTCTCTGGGCTGTTTGTACTTGGCCGTGAACCTCTTTCGGGGTGCCAGCATTTCTTCTAGCTAAGTGTGGTAGTTAGCAGACAGCTGTCCCAGCATGACTCCGGAGAACCTTAACTTTTGCTAGACTACTCACTGCTGCTCCTTACCGGAAGTCCCACTGTAGGAGCTGCCCTGGGGCTTCTGCCCACCTGCCTGTGTTTTGGGTTCAGCTCATCTCATAACACTGGCTTGGGTTCTATTTGTGGCCTGGGCTAGGATGGACCCCAGGAGGGCAGTAAGTGAAGGCACTGCCTACTGAGTGCTGTTACCACCAGACCCCTGTAGTGGCTTCTCACCAGGGACTGTTTTTTGCTCATGGGCTCTAGAGACATGCTTTTTTGAGACAGAGTCTCACTGCGGAGCCCAGGCTGGCCTCAAACTCAGGGCCATCCTCCTGTCTCAGCTTCCTGAGTGCTGTTGGCTGGTGTTTGTGGCTCCTTTCTAGGACCTGTTCAGCTGTCCTTGTGTGGGGCTGGTGGGCCGGTGGTCTCTGGTCTGTGTGGAAGGTGCTTTTCCCACCCCCTCTGGAGACGGGCTTTTCACGAGTGGGTGGTGACTTGGTTGACGCCTCTTTGTCTCTTGACAGCCCCCTCTGAGGAGTGACTTCCCAGCTATTGAAGGTAAAGAGACCACCCCTTGCGAGTACAGGGTCCTCCTCTCTCCCTTCACGCCCCAGACCCTCATACTGCAGCACCGTGACTGAGGCCCCCGCCCGGCAGGGAGTGGCGGGGCTGACCTTACCAGCACGTGCTGGCTCTGGCCTTTGTCTGCTGCTCCCCACCTGGGTGATATTTGCTGCCTTCTTCCTGTGCTGCTCCCCTTGTTAGGTGGGAGAATCCTAAGCTGCGAGAGATGCTTAGGTTGAAAAGCACCAAGACACGGTCTCCTCAGTGTTTCTCAGCTTTATTAAAGCTACAACAAAAGGATAATTTTCCTTTTTAGTATCCTTAGATGACATTCATGGGTGATGTAATTTTTCCATAGATGTATTTAAAAAAATATCTAGTTCTGTATGAATCCTTAACTATAATAGGGTAAAATACAAGGAAAACATTTTAGTAAGACTATAGTGCTTTGGCAGGTGTGGTGGCACTAACCTGTAATGCCAGCATTCAGCAGGCTGAGGTAGGAGGATCATTGCAAGTTTGAGGTCAACCTGGCTACGTAGTGAGTCCAAGGCCAGCCTGGACTAAAGAAAGCAAGGTCCAGGGGCCAGAGAGATAGCTCTGTGGAATAAGTGCTTGCCTGGCAAGCGTAAGGTCCTGAGTTTGATCCCTGGTACCACAAAAAAAAAAAATCCCACCCCCCAGGGATGGTTGTTCTGAAAAAAAAAAAAAAAAAAAAAAAAAGAAAGAAAGCAAGGTCCTGTCTCAAAACAGTAACAACAACAAAAGATTATAGAATGTTGATATGTAACAATTATCTAAGAAGTGAAGTGATTGCACCGAACGTAGGATGTTCCAGCTATGCGGACAGCCCGAGTGTGTTCATGCTTGTGCCCCGGTGTGCTACTGGGTAGTGCTGCCTTTGGTGAGGGGATTGCCCACACTAGAAAACAACTTGCAGTACAGTTTTAAGAAAAAGGGCCGGAGAGCCAGCTCAGCAGCATAAGCATCTGCCTGGCAAACGAGCTCAAGGTTCCGAGTTTGATTCCCTGGTACAATTAAAAAAAAGAAATAGTTATACTACTAATTTCTCTTAGTTCAATGAAAAGAAAGATTTGTACTAGTATTGTTTGGATCATTAAATGCTGATATCTTGTACTCTGAGTAACTAAAGGTAAAAATACACATTATATTAATCATTGTTACCTTCCTATTATCTTGTTTTGAAAATTTTTTTCTTTAAAAAAAAGAGAGAAAAGGAAAAGTGAACTGGGTATGGTGCCACACTCCTGTAATCCCAGCACTCCGAAGGCAGGGCCGGGGAGATGGCTCAGTAGAATAAGCGCAAGAGTCTGAGTTCAATCCCTGGTTCCGCAAAAAAAAAAAAAAAAAAAAGGAAGGCTGAGGCAGGAGAATCACTGTGAGTTTGAGGCCAGCTTAAGAGTTCAAGGCTAGTCTGTCTTAAATGGCGAGACCATGTCTCAAAAAAAACCCCAAACAAACCAAATCTTCTGATGATCTTTGTGTTTTAGGAAAAATTCATGTTTATTAAAACTGTACGGAAGTACTTTGTAAAGAAAACCACCTTTATGATTATCTGCAAAATGGGAATAGCTGAAGTAGTCATGACCCGATTGTCCAGCCACATGCATGCTGGGTGAGACAGTCAGATATTCTGAGGATGTGGGACGGTCTCTGCTTGTACAGGACTGTCCCCACCTACTAAGTGTGTCCTTCTTAGCATTGAGACATAGCTGCCACCTCTTCCTCTTCGCAACCAAGCCTCGTGTGTGCTGGCACGTGCCCTGCCTTTGGGTTCTGTCCCCAGGGCTGTGTCCTCCACTTTCTGACCCCTCCCCAGGTCCGTCCTGCACCTTCAGGAGCCGCCAGTGTTGTAGCCAATACCCGCCCCTGCCTGCTGCCTGCTCGTTGTGTGTCTCGCACTGGGTTAGGTGTTTGCTGAGTCTCAGTTTACCCTCCATGCCATGAGCAGGTGCTGCTGTTATGTTGTCGGGGAGGGTGAGGCTCAGAGGAGGAAAGTCACTGCCGCTGTCCTGCCAGGAGCACTGTCAGGGTGTGTGTAGGAGCTTCAGGCTGTTGGTTCACACCCCTGCTCTTGGCCACTAGGCTTATTGGTCCCAGGAGACCCGAGGGAAGTGGCTTATGGGGAAGAGAGCCCCTTCAGAGAGCCCAAGGGCTTACCAGTGCAGTGGGAGACTTGCTGTGTTTCCTGGTTCAGCCTCTTTGCATGCCAGTGGCCACCAGCTAACAATGTGAGCAGTCAGGGATCTTCTTGCTGTGGCCTGCACTTCAGGAAGGCAGTCCTGCCCGGTGCAGCAGCGCAGCAAGTAGCTCCAGGCGGGATGCCCGGCCTGTCTCCGCAGCCTCCTGGGGGCCACCACTACGGGCAGCCCATTGCCTCACCCCGCCCCTTTGCTCTTGCAGGGGTGCTCCTCCTGGGTGAGCCGGTCCGCTGGGAGACCAGCCTGCAGCTGATCGTGGACGTGCTCCTCAGCAACGGGAACCCCGGCACCGGCCTGGTGACAGCGCCCTACCCCCACCTCCCTGTCCTGGCCAGCAACATGGATCTTCTCTGGATGGCTGAGGCCAAGATGCCCAGGTGAGGACACAGGGCCCCCAGCCCGCTGACATAGGCTGCTGCATGACCCATCCTATGGGCAGTTTGTCACTGTCATTCTGGTGCTTGTGGGCTGGCACCCACCTAGCTGGGCTTGTAGCTGTCAGAGTAACGGGCTCCGGGAAGGCTTTCGAATGCTACTTCATTCATTAGTATTAAACTGAAGCTGCAGAGTCGTGAGCATGAAGACGGGTGAAGGTGATCTTGATACGCACCGTCTGCTTGCGTGTTCTTCCAGAGCCCGCTTCTGTCAGGGCCAGCGGGGAGGTGTGTCCGTGGAAACCACTTGCCGCTCTCCCTCTTACCTCCTTGGGGTGTGGTTTTTCTTGCTTCTTTGTTTGCAAATGTTTCCCGTGAGATGGAGCGGCAGGGGCAGCCGGGACTGCTCTGAGGGTGGGGATACCTGAGGCCTTGACTTGAGGCCGGGTAGGGTGCAGGTGTGCCATCCCATACACCTCGCCCCCTCTGAAGAAGTCGCTCTCCCGTCCTTCTCTGGGCTGCTAGGTGGCTCTTTCCGGGAGTTCGGGTACCTCACTGAGACCAGCAGTGGCTGTCTGTCCTTGGACTGCTCTCCCAGAGCCCTGCTCCTGTCCCCTGCACTAAAGCCTGGGAGGCCTCAGGTGTTGGGGCCAGGACTGCTGCAAGTCCCAAAACTTGGGAGCTTCAGGAGAGCAGCATGTGGTTGCGTCCCTTGTCGCTTTTATTTATTTATTTTATTTTTTGAGGAACCGGGGATTGAACTCAGGCCCTCGCACTTGCCAGGCAAACGCTTATTCTACTGAGCTATCTCCCCGGTCCCCTTGTTGCTTTTATTTATTTATTTATTTATTTTTCCATAATTTTATTGAGAAACAAATAGCAATGAGACAATTTCAAACCAAATTGGTAGGACAGTTTCAATAATTAACACATTGCATACATTCTTCCTAGTGGTTAATTGCTGTACAAGATGCAGACATGATATCCTATTTACAAACACCATTAGAACAAATCCCTCTATTCATTCAGAGAATGTAACTATATATCTATCCTAACCACTTTGAATACACAGATACAAAATGGACATTCATCTGTATCCCCTTTTTTTGTTAAGTTCCGTTATTTGAATATTATAGGTATATAAACTCAGCAAAATATTCTAAAAGAGTCCAGTAGCCCTTAATAGTATTGGGTCTTCCACTTGACTGGCAGTGTCAGAAATTGTTGACCTTAGTCCCCCACAGCTCAACATAACAGCATGGCTTCTTATATTTCGTTTTTATACTTTTCTGCTGGATGGTTAAGACCAAGGTAAAGCAGGATCTATGCAACAAGAGTTGTAGCTTTTGGGTCTGATAAGGTCAGTGAAATCCCCTCAGGATTTATCCTGAGATCCTGTACCTTAGATTGTAGAACCTTTGTCAGTGTCAGCCGTGTGAATGAGTCACAGCCATTGTTTGGCCAGTGTGCTCTCTGTGAAAGCCTGAGAGAATGTTTTCTCTCCATGTGACTCTCCTTAGGCACACTCTATATCATCAATCACTTTCCTCTTTGGCCCCATAATCTCCTTGATCAGAAAATTTGGGACACTACCGAGTTACATGACGTTACAGTATAAGTTCTCCTATGTCCTGAGTCTTAATTGACCTTGGAAGGCTAGGGGCAAAATGCTGGCTTTCCTTGCGGCCCTCCTTTTTCTCTAATTTTGGTCTGCAAACTTAGGTTGTTAACCCTCCAGAAGACAAGCTAATTGTTATTACCATACAACCTAGGCTGTTAAGCTTAACCTCACTATCTGTCTGAATATCAAACATCTTAGGCATAACATGGAACAAGTATTTTTCATCAAGTATTTATATGTTGAACTTTAAGTCCCTACAGAATATGATGAAAAACATTTAAAAACCCTTGTTGCTTTTAAAGGGCATTTCTGTAGCTCTAGTTCTGGCATGTCTCTGAAGTACTGTGTCCAGTGGGACTAGATGGAGAGCTGGTGACATAGCTGTGAACAGAATAGTGGGACCCAATTCCATTTTTTAAACCAGGCAAGATTAATGTTTATTCAGTAATGGAAATCAGGATGTGGTGGTACCCACCTGTGCTTTCAGGCCTGTGGGAGGCCAGGGCAGGAGGATCACAGTTGCAGCCCAGCCCAGGCAGCGTGGTGAGACGCTCACTCGCTCTCTGCACAAAAGAAACCCACCAAGGCAGGGCTATACATCAGCGCCAGGGCTCTGGGTTCGACCGCTAGTGCTGAAGAAGCAAGCAAACCAGACTTGTTCTATAAGTGAGTCAGAAATGTAACCAGTGTATAGCAGGGGATCAATGAGGATTCAACCTAGCAGCTGAGGCTGAAAGCCCAACTAATTTTTTTTTTTTTTATCTGTTTGGGATATGGTTTTATTATACAGTTAGATGTCCTTAAACTCACTTGGTAGCCCAAGCTGGCCTCGAACTCCCAATGATCCTCCTGAGGCTGGGATTGCAGGTGTGCATCACCACACCTGGCAACAAATGTGTTTATTTATTTATTTATTTTGCAGTACTGGGGATTGAACTCAGGACCTTGTACTTCCCAGGCAAGTGCTTATTCTACTGAGCTATCTTTCCAGCCCCATCAAATGTGTTTCAAAAAGATAGAATTTTTGTGCCTGCCTGGCACATGTAAGGTTGTGCCAATAACCTTTTGTAATTCCCAATACAAAAGAGAAGGGATAGATTTTTTACTTTTAATGTATTTTTTAGTGCAAGGTCTATAGGGTCACACTACACAGATTGGACTTACAGTGATCTTCCCGTTTTCGGCCTCCCAAGCTGGGATTGCAGGTGTGGGTCACCACGCTCAGTCTCAATTGCCAGCTCAGCGCATCCCAGGGGCGGGGCTGGCACAGCATGCTGGGGATTGAACCTGGTCCCTGCGTCTCCCTAAGCAGGCACTTTAATCTACTGAGTGATCTGGCCCCTCCTAGAATTTTTATTTTTAATCATGTGGAAGAAGTCTGGGGTGGGCTGGTGAGATGGCTCAGTGGTCTAAAGCACCTACTTAGAACAAGCTTAGCAAAGCACAGGGACCGCGGTTCAATCCCCCAGCACCACATGCCAGCC